TTGGAAGAGATAAAACTGGTAGAATTCGATATTTATTATATAAAAATATGATTTGAAAATAAATATTGTATTATCAGTTTGGGTAAAAACCCAGAGCAAGATATTTTTAAATCAATCCAGCCCAATAGCTTCTCCATAAATTCCCAATTAACCCTTTCTAGTAAAGCACTTGTATTTTATAGATCATTCAATGGAATTATATGGAACTGTAAAACCCCATTTGCATGGTCATTTGTGGTGGAAACTTTTGATAAGGATTTTCCCACACTGTTGTCCTGTAAATTAAGACTTCAAATTCTTGGGCCGTGTAGCGCTGGTGCTTGCTTAATCTGCTGCCAATGGAATTTGAAGATCAATTTTGGCTAAAACCGCAATGGCTAACACAAGTACAAACTGCAGTGCAGGCTAACTGAACTATTTTACAATTTCTAATGGTTTTCCAACTGCTTTCGCGCTCTGCAACGGTTTTATCTGTCTGCCAGTTCGGCTGGCTGGCTCTGGCCACTGCCACTGCCACTGCCATTGCCATTGCCATTGCCACTGACTGTGGCTGTGGATGCGGCTTTGGCTATGGCCCTGCCTGGTCAATGTCCTTTGGTGTGGTGGGCCTTGCATGCGCATTGCGCGCACGACGCGTCAACAGATGTTATCCCCACTAGGCAGTGACCCCGGCAGGGCCATAAATTCTCACAGCGTTGCGCCTGCGCACAGCTTCTACAAAATGTTCCAATTTGTATTTTTGCAACAAATTGTTGCTGCTGCCGTTGCCGGTTGCCCGTTGCCCGTTGCCAGTTGCCGTTGCACGTTGCTGCGTTGCTCCAACTTTGCCCCCCATTTTTGCCTGGCTTGGTTGTTCGGGTTCGAGCTGCATTTAATTTAATTTGGCCTGCCCAATTGGGCAGCGGTGCAATTAGAGACAAATGTTTTGGTTGCATTCCTTGAGCCTATTTAAGCCCCATGTTCAAGGCAATTAGTTTGGCCCAGCCCCAAGGCGAAAGTAATCAGGGGCGTTGCAGGGGCGGTATGTGGGGTAGCGTCGGCTCCGGAGCTGATTTCCCACACGTTTGTTTGCTTAATTAGGTGAAAACTGGCTAACAGCTGTCGGCAATGTTGCCGCTGCCATTGGCATTACCATCGCCATTGACGCTGCCATTGCCGTTGCCCATGGGCCAAAAGACACCGCTGCCTGGTTTGCTAATGAGCAGGACAAGCTGGCGAAAAGAAAAGTAAGCAGGCTCGGCCTCGCTTTCAGGTTGCCAAAATGGAAAACGTTTTTCGTTTTGAAGTGCTAAAATTCCTAGATACCAACGGCTCAACTAATACCCTGTACCAAAAGGGTAGCATTAGCCTGTCATCGAGCTCCATGGAAGCAAGAGAAGAGGGAGCTGTGGAATTGTGAATTAAATCTATATAAAACTATCGAGTAGACAGGCCTAAAACAAAGATGAAATTTAGAAATAAAAAACAAAATAAATAAATAAATATCTTTAACAATAACATACAAGATAACATAACATACATTATATATAATAAGGAGGAATATTTGTTAAAAAAAACACAAATTTTTTTTAATTTTAAAACAAAATTCAGTAGAAATTTTATGTTTCTATTT